ATAATCTGTACTTAACAAAGTGAAAGAATGTTTTTTCACTTTGATTTGAGTGACTATTAATGTTTCTTTTGCAGTGGATGGAGGGATTTGACTGGTTTGCAAAGCCTAAGTACAAACTTATCTTTTCTAAAGAAAACCAAAAAACTAATTTAGATAACGTCAGCTAATTTTACTCAGTAATGCGTCTAATTATTAGGAAGTGCAAAGGTTTATTTTTCACATGCATAGCAACCTGTTAAGTAGACAAGGTTTTCATAAATATTTTGTAATTAGCACAATGTAGTCTACAAGGCTCTGGACCCTCTGGAATCTCAGGTGGTTGACAAAATTCATTTCCTTATAGAATAGAACTTATATAGGCCTTCAAGGCCAATAGGAGGTCATCTCTCTGACTTCCCTTATCTCCCACCTCCAGATTCCCTTTTAAGAGCTCACCAGACTAGGTGAGGCCCAACCACAATAATCTCCCTCTGATTAATCTGATTAGGTATCTTTAAAAAAAAAAAAAACTTCTTGTTGAAAGTATTAACATTTGTCCCCTTTCATTCCCCATTGGCCCCTTCTAGCCTGGCCCCGCCTCCTACCCCTCGCCCCAGGCCTTCACCACACTTTTGTCTGTGTCCTTGGGTTATGCATATTTGCATACAAGTTCTTTGGTTGCTGTCTTCCCACCCACCTTCCCTGCGATTAGAGATCTTAAATACATTTGCCGTAACGCCTTTTGCCATAAAGGAGTAATATCCTCTAATACCCACAGGTCCAGCCCAGGCTCAAGAAGCATGTATAGTCAGGTGTGGCTCAGGGGTTGAGCGGGGACTTATGAACCAGGAGGTCAGGGTTGATTCCCCGTCAGGGCACACGCCTTGGTTGTGAGGGCGTGCAGGAGGCAGCTAATCAATGATTCTCTGTCATCTTTGATGTTTCTATCATTCCCTCTCTGAAACCAATAAAAATATCTATTTTCTTAAAAGAAGCCTATACACCAGGTGGTGGGAATCTTGGTGGCCATCTTAGAATTCTACCTACCACAGTGGCTCTTAGCAGTTTGGAATAAAATCCTAAAAACAACAATGAAGCACTCTTAGGAAATGCTGCATTACAAGTATTTGTGGGCCAAAAATAATTCTGTGTGGAAAAGAATGTGCACATCTGTGAGCCAAATGATGCCCACCAATATATGCTAAAATTAGTGGACTAAAGTTTAAGCAGAAAAGGATATTTGCTTAGTCTCTGTATTAGTTTCCTAGATTTGCAATAACAAATTACCACAAATTGTCCCTAGCCAGTTTGGCTCAGTGGATAGAGCTTCAGCCTGCAGACTGAAGGGTCCCGGGTTTGATTCCGCTCAAGGGCACATACCAAGGTTGTGGGCTCAATCCCCAGTAGACCCCGTGCAGGAGGCAGCCAATCAATGATTCTCTTTCATTGATGTTTCTATCTCTTCCTCTCGAAATTAAAAAATATGTATTTTTTAAAATTACCACAAACTGGATGGCTTAAAACAACAGAAATGTATTCTCCACAGTTCTGGAGGCTAGAAATCTGAAATCAAGGTGTGTTGGCAAGGACGGTTCCTTCCTCTAAGGGAGAATGTATTCCAGGCCCCTCTTAGCTTCTGGCAATTCTTGGCGTTCCTTGACTTGTAGATGCATCACTACAGTCTGCCTCAGTCTTCACATGGTGTTCCCCCTGTAGGTCTCTGTCTAAATCTCCCTTTTCTAAGGGCACTAGTCATTGGATTAGGGTTTTCCTTAATCGAACATGACTTCATTTTAACTTGATTATGTCTGCAAAAGACCCTTTTTCCTAATAAGGTCACATTCTAAGGTCTGGGTAGATGGAAATTTTGAGAAGACACTATTCAATCAAGTATGGTCCCAACGTATCCACCCCTAAAAAGTTTAGTAATTATAAAGGAGAAAATAGTAACTTTACTATGAGAAATCCTGGCAGACACCACTACCCAACTGATTAAGGTAAAATAGTTTCTATGGAAAGTAACCTCAGGGTAATCTGATCATAAATTTCTAATTTCATACTCATGGTGGGTAGTCATGCCCTAGACACAGAACTTCTTTTAGTAAAAGGCTTATTTTTGCCTTAAGCAAGCCTTGTCCATTATTTCTGTGCATCTAGGTTAACACACTATTTGAATACCCCCTTTCAGATTCCTTCTAAAGCATAGCCATCCCTAAGAAAGCACATAATCTTTTTTATATATATATTGATTTCAGAGAGAGAGAGAGGGAAAAAAACATCAATGATGAGAATCATTGATTGGCTGCCTCTTCACGCCCCCTACTGGGGATCGAGCCTGCAACCCGGGCATGTGCCCCTGACCGGAATCGAACCCAGGACAACACACTATTCGAATACCCCCTTTCAGATTCCTTCTTCTAAAGCATAGCCATTCCCAAGAAAGCACATAATCTTTTTTATATATATATTGATTTCAGAGAGAGAGAGAGGGAAAAAAACATCAATGATGAGAATCATTGATTGGCTGCCTCTTCACGCCCCCTACTGGGGATCGAGCCTGCAACCCGGGCATGTGCCCCTGACCGGAATCGAACCCAGGACCCTTCAGTCGGCAGGTTGATGCTCTATCCACTGAGCAAGACAGGCTAGGGCCACGTAATCTTTTTTAAAAAGTATTTTTATTGATGTTAGATGATTGTGTTGGGGTCCATCCCCAGCAGGTCCAGGGGTTCCCAGAGGGGGGGACAGAGTCTGAGAGAAGGAATGACTTGGAGGCAGCGTTCAGTTGATCAGCATAGGGAGGTTCTCTAGCCAGGTTCTGTGTTTATTGTCCTGTCACATCTGTATTTATACCAGTTGATTTTAATCCTATCCATTCTATTCCAAAGGTTAGGGCGTTTCTTATCTCCATTCCAAGGTTACTCTATTATTCTATCAAGCTACAAGGAAGTAACTGAAGGAGACTATCCTAAGTAAAGATTATGTAGCTTAAGCGTGATTGTTCATAGTTAAAGTGATTAACTACCTGCCTGGCACTTAGTTAAGGGGTTTTACTGATTCCCTTCCTTAGTCCTAAAGAACCTTTCTCGGAGAGGTGACTTTGGTTAAAACACATAGCGCTAAGAAGGGGGAGCAAACATATGCCATATACGCCAGGTCCCTTGAAACATAAGCTGTGCAGATGTTTCTTCCCTGCAGCGACTGTGTCAAGCAGCATGGGTGGACTGGCTTCCGGCATGAATGGAGAGAGAGAGAAAAAAAACCCCACAACCTGAGTATGTGCCCTGGCCAGGAATCAAACCTGTGCCCTTTCAGTGCACAGGGCAATGCTTAACCAACTAAGCCACACTGGCTAGGGCTGAGAGTATATAATCTTAACAGTCTAGTAATCCAATCTCCGCCTTTCTTTCTCCACCTTCAGGTAATTTTTACGTTCCCTCCCTCATTTCAAGTACATGAAAGAAACTGCACTTATTCTCAGTCTGTTGAGATCTTGCTTCCAAATGAATCCTGTTTGACTCGAATTTTTATAAAAATTCTCTGCAGGTTTGGATGTACTTACTTCAACAATAAACATCATTAATAGTACTTATTTTTTTCTTTATATACACATGAGAGTGACACTTAAAAACAAATCTAGGTCTAAATAAGTTTAAAAGAGTTCTTAATAAATATAAAAATTCTAAGTAATAAAAATGTCAGTAAAATGGCAACATATTTTATTCTTGCGGTGCATAAATAATGTATAAATAATATATTGTACAATCAATACTCTCTTAGCTTTAAGTAAATGCAATTCATTCATTCAACAAATATTTATTAAATACTATTATTATGTAAGGAACTGACCTAGGTGTACGGGATATAATGAACCAAACATAACTGAGGCTTATACTAATGTTCAGAAGGGTAATAATTAAACTCATAAATGTATAATTTTGGATGGTGATATGTTATGAAGACAATAAAACAAACTAGTATTTTTAAGAAATGGTGGTAATAATAATAGGTACTTTTATTTTAGAAAAGACCTTTGTGAGGCCTTAACAGGTGAACTGAAACCCAAATTCTGAGAAAGGGCCAAATATATGATGATTTGGGGAAAGAGCATTCCAGGCAGAGGCAACAGTAAATGCAAGATTTCTGAAGTAGGAACAAACTTGCAATGTTCAAGGAACCAAAATGGCAGTGGAATTGAACCACAGTGAGGCAGGGGTTAGAGACTTAATGAGGTCTAGGTCATTTAGGGCCTTGTAAGACATGGCAAAAGAGTTTGGGCTTTTGGTGACACCACGTTCTCTGCTATGCTGGTGAGCCCCCACCAGTAAACCTGCCTGGTGACCTGAGTGCCCAAGAGCTGTGCAGTGGCCCTGGTGATGGCCCCTGAAGCTCAGCTGGGTCTGTCCTATTCCCCCCTCACCCGCCCTTCCCCTCTGGTGGCCTGGCTCCCAGTCCTTGGTAGCCCCATTCCCCAGCTCCTCACAATATGGTTTTCACTTGTGTGGATTTAATAAAAACTTCACAAGTTCCTAAAAATAATGTAATAAAATAAAAATGAAACCTACCACTAATTATGTGTAGTACCTGTAGAAATAAATCATTTAAACTAGTGATTTAGGTCAAATCACTCCATCTTTTACTTTCTTTAATGCTCTGGAAGCTAAAATGTATGCTTCTGGGTTTATATATATTTGCATTTTGTTAAATGTACATTGATACAAATTATGGGTCAAAGAGGAATTTAAAGGAAATTGAGACATTCAAAATGAGGAGATGTAATGGTTATATGATTTAAGAAGGTCTTTAGGAGCTTGTGTAATGGTAGAAATCCAGACTTTATTCTTTCTTATTAATAGGAATGGTATTTATAGAATTTAGTAAGATTATTACTTTTTACATTTACCATTGCTGTGATATTTGAGAATGTGTGCTCTTAGACCTAATTCTACTTTTAGCCCAGCTCCACATGACCTTGTTTCTAAAGCAAGAGCCCAGGGCAGTTTCTCTGTAACATTAGATTACAATATCCAGACTAGATCTATTGCTGGGAGAGAGAGATGTCATTTTAAGAAATGGTCAAAGGAAACTGAAACAGCTGGTTTGGCATGTTTACATTCTGTACTTCCCCAACAGAACATTTCCATTTCTAACCACTCCTGACATTGTTGTTCAGTGATACTCATTCAACAATCATTTCAATTTCTAACAACTCCTTACACTGTTGTTCAGTGATATTCATTCAACAAGTTTTTGAGAGTTGTCTACGCCAGGCACTGTCAGGAACCAGGACTGCAAAGATGAAAGTCACAAGCCCTGTCCTAAAGTATCATTAGCTATAATAGACTAATAATCACAATAGAGTGAGCTATGAAAGCACTGAAAGTGAGGCAAATATCTGTGCCCAGGAAAGCGTGGGAAGACATAAAAGAGAACAAAGGCACCTTGGAGGTGGTATCGGATTGGAATAGCAACCGAGTTGGAGAGAGAAATCTTTGAACATCACAAGTAGGGTACTGCCTCCTCTTAGAACTCAAGATGGTTTGCTCTGATTTCAACCTTTTGGTTACTGATTCGGCCTCTCTGATTACCTGATACACTACCAATATCCTCTGGTAACAAAAAGGTCAGCTAAAGGATCTTTTTTTCTTTTCATGATTAGGCTTCCTTGCCCACTCTTGTCCGTCTGTTGCTAGCAAGGTAGTTTCTGGGAGACCAAGGTCTCCCTTAAGACTTCCAAATTACCTGACTCTCTACTAATGAAAATTCCAGTCTAATGTAACAGACGAGAGAGAAGGCTTACACTACGAGAAGAAACTGGGGTTTGGGGAGCTTTTGGATCATTGCTGGGAAAAGAGAAATCCTTCATATGACAGTCCCGGATCTGCCCTCCAAGTTGTTCGCCTTCTCCATTTACCCAGGTCTAGCTGCTGAAAGCACATTCGGGTCAGCAAAGATCAGAGCGCCCAAGTCACCCGCCACCCCGCCCCCAGAGTCCCCGCGGAGTCAGTAAACGCAGAGATTGCTTCCCGCAGGCTGTGGGGGAGGGAATGTAGTGGAACGTAACCACCATGTTGGTTGTGGTTAAGCGCAGCGCACCCGTGGGCGTCACTCGGCCCTCGTGCGCAAGCCTATGAGGCAGGCGCTACCCTCCCCTTCCTGTGCACGCGCTGAAAGCCCGCAACTCTCGCGAGAGAAGCGAGATTTATTCCTACGTACCGGGCCGTGCTGCTTATGGCGGCGCTGGAGAGGGGGCGCTGAGCTGTTGGGGTGAGTACGACCCTAGGGTCCAATTGTGGGTAGCAAGGAGCCAGACTAAGGGCGGATGAAAAGACCAAGACTAACGGGAGAGACTTCTGAGTCAAGGTGGGCACTCCTAGAGCTCCGGGTAGGGAAAATCTCACCCTGAGTCTCTGCCTCGGGCTTTCCCACCCGGCCCCTGTTCGACTGTAGAGGCCTCACGTCAGGCCGCAGAGCCGAAACGAAGAGTCGAGACCAGGCGTCCGCGCGTGGTGGCGGTGGCGGTGACTTAAGGGGGGGAGGGAGCGAAAATGGAGGCTCCGACCGCAGCCAAGATGGAGGCAGGGGTGCGGGGCTCTGCCGCGGAGGCTGCTGGGAGTTGTAGTCTGGCCGCTTTCTCCTCTGCGGCTTGGCGAGGGAACGGGAACTACAAGTCCCGGCGGGCGGGGCGGAGGGGTGGTGGCGCGGTCCTTTGTGTGAGGCTGGAAGAACCGGAGGCTGAGAAGGGCCTGCTCTGGCCCCGGACCCGATAGTTTCGCCGCCTGTCATCGGTTTGGGGATCTGACTACGAGTACCAGAGCGCAGTGCGGCACTGGCGCCTCCTTTGTGTACGGGCTGATGCCTTGCTGCATCGAAATGCCTAGAGACACCTTTCCCCGGCCACATCTGGCATTGTAGCACGGCCTAATTATCACCCTTGCCTCCGATCACCTCCATCTGCTTCTCCGGTCTCTATACCCAACCTTCCTTTCTTCGCCTCCCCTTCCACTGTTGGAGAAAGCCAGAGCCTAATCTTAGGCATGTGGCTCATCCCTCTACCCTGAAGTTAGGGCGTGCTCTGAGAGCTCCGTGGAACCATCCTCCTTACCACCTTCTCTAGTACTTACGGTGCAAGAGCCAGCCCCACATTGTGCAATGGACGGCTCGGCTTCGTCATTCTAAGTAGAGTTGGTTTTTTTAGAGCCCTGGTCGGAGAGACTTCCTCGGTATTCACCGTCCGATGTTTTATCGGTACGATTTTTCAGTGACACGGTTCGTTTGCTTTAAGGGTTTCCTTTGCAAACATCCAGATGGTTCCTCTCTTGTTTGGCTCGGAAGTGAGGCAGGGAACGCTCTCTAAAGCAGCCTCCCAATCTGCAAACACAAAAATCTGAAGTGTGCTATACAATTTCCTTTTTTGCACCTAAAATGAGGGAAAGAGTGGTCCTCGTTAGACTGCTGGGGGACAGGGTGAAGGGGGAGGGAGGACGCTCAAAGACATGGGTAGTTAAATCTATTTCCTTTGAGAGACTTAGCTTTTTATCAAGACGCTGTGAACTGGCAACTCTTCCGGAGCTACTGGTCTATAAAATGTGGGTACCAAATTATAGTTCACCTAATAGAAGTTATTCTAGATCACAGGCTGGGGAATTTTCATTGGGGGTTTCTAGAACGCAGGCATTCTCAATGCTACATTGAGGGGCAGTATAGCTTGGTGTCCTTTTGATACTAACCAGTAATGGGTATTCTTGGTGTAGGTAAAGAGGGGATTTATATACTCGAAAAGGCATACGCCTCAGTCATAAAACCTAGATAAATACTCGATCTTGTTTCTTTTTGTTTCCTTTTAGCCCTAGGCCCGAAATAAAAGATGGTAGTGGTTTGAATGATTTTGCAGCTGCTCTGGATGTTTACCATCGAGATGAGTATTTATAGCAGCTGAGTTGAAAAGTAAAGTATTTGAAGCACAGAAGATAGGTCTCCTTTTTTTGTAATTAAGTTCTGACTTAACTATGACCTTTAGAGAGGTTGAAAATTCTGGTAAATTCCTAGCAAATAGAAAATGAGAGTGAAAACTGACATGCCTTATCCTATTCCTGTTTTTTTCCTCACTCTACCTAAAGACACTCTGCAGGGCAACCTTAAAAAAAAACAGTTTCTTTTAAATTATGACAAAATGTACATACAGTAACCATTTTAATCTTTTTTGTTTTTAAGTGTACAGTTCAGTGGCATTAAGTTTATTGTGAGAAGGATACTTTTGACCAGGTAGTTGAAACATAGAAATGCTGTTTGTATCCATTTTTAAGGAGTTGAATTTTAGAACTGTTTTACCCCCCAAAATTAAAATCTTGACTTCTTGTTAAAGAAACATGAAGAATTGATGTGCCTTCTTAGCTTTGCCTTTTCAAGATCAGGGAAATTACTTTGAGACCTTTGACCCACATTGTCTTACGCAGTGCTGTAAAAATTGTAGGATTTCTTTCATAATGAAGGATTACAGCTAGGAGATTTATAATTATTTTTAACAAAGTTTTTTTAAATATGTTTTTATTGATTTCAGAAAGGGAGAGAGAATTAGAAACATCAGTGATGAGAGAGAATCATTGATCTGCTGCCTCCTGCACGCCCCATTGGGGATCAAGCCCGAAACCCCGGGCGTGGGCCCTGACCCAATCAAACTTGTGACCAGCTGGTTTATGGGTAAACGCTCAACCACTGAACAACACCCACCAGGCATATAACTATTTCTAAAGACTTAATCCCTAGAATGTCTTAAATGGTGAAGATGCTGTGGTAGGAATGACTTGTTTTTTTTAATCCCATCATTTCTTGTTTTTAAATCCTTTCTGCCAAATCAGGATTTTAAATAATCCCTTTGTCTTGATATTAAAATGTTTTCCAGCCCTAACCGGTTTCGCTTCGGCCTGCAGACTGTAGGGTCCTGGTTTCGATTCTGGTCAGGGCACATGCCTGGGTTGCAGGCTCGATCCCCAGTAGGGGGCGTGCAGGAGGCAGCCCATCAATGATTCTCATCATTGATGTTTCTATCTCTCTCCCTTTCCCTTCCTCTCTAAAATCAATAAAAAAAATATTTTTAAAAAAATGAAAGTCTTTGCCCAAGGGCCTTACTTTTTACTGTTGCTTTATTGGGCATGCTAATGCCTTTTCCCCTCATCAGTCTACACCTGCTCTGACCAATGTGGTGGCCACTTGCCATGTCTGGCTATTGTGCACTTGAACTGTGCATAGTTCTGAATTGAAATGTGTTGTAATTGTAAAAAACAAAGCAAAACATTAGATTTCAAGGAATGTAAAACTCATATAGTTTGATTACAAGTGGAAAATAACATTTTGGATATATTTGCTTAAGACGTAATTTCACCTGAATACTTTTTGCTTATTTCAACTTTGATATGATTGCTAGAAAATTTTAAATTACATATATGGCTTGCACTATATTTCTGTTTGACAGTGCCGGTCTACACTGTTACCTGATTGTGTGTCTGAAGCATTTCTTCAGCTTCTTCCCACACTGGCATTTGTCCCATTTCAAGTACTAGCGTATGTAGAAGCAGTTAAGTGATAGATGTATATTTAATTTCAAAAAACTTAGTAGCTGATAAGGTAACTAACAACCCAGCATAATTATTACTAAGCATGCACAGAAAGATAGTTGGAACAATTTGACTTTTATTTCATTTCCATTCAATATGTTGATGACATAAATTGTTTGAGCTTGGTTAATTACTTTCCATAGATACTAAAGTAAAAGTGAATTAAAACCTGTTAAGCACTTCAGTTTGTACAGATTATAGCAAAATGCGTTATATATATATATATTTTATGCGTTGTATTTTAACTTGGGTTAATGCACCAAGAAATATGAACTGGAAAGTTAAAGGCAAGAATATTATTCATGTAAATCAACAATAGTCTTTTCATTCCCATGCTGCCTCTGTGGGTCTTCGCTCTTCTCAAAGGAAGAAGGTACTCGAAAAAAAGTAGGTTAGATGGTGGGGAGGCTTTTGTTTTTCTCTCTCCCCTTAATCTTCACTCCAGGATATGGTTTTATTTTTTAATTAATTTTAGAGAGGAAGAAACATCAAACAGTTGCCTCGTGTAAGCACCCTTCCATGGTTCAAACCCCATAACCTGGGTATATGCCCTGACTGGGAATTGAACCTGCAACCCTTCGGTATACAGGATGATCCTCCAATCAACTGAGCCACACTGGCCAGCGCAGTGGGGAGACTTTTGTAAAATGGTGTAGCCTTTCATTAACATTTTCCCCAAGTGAGTGCTGTACAGACTTTGAGAAGAATTTGTCAAATGGTAAACTGGGTTATGTGATATATTTTAAATGGATTACCGATATCAAAACAATTTATTAACTTGGTTCCTACTCTGTGCTTGGCTTCTGCTAGGCTTTTGAGATAAAGCAGGGAACTGGGGGAGCTAGTAAATAACAAAATAGGTGTTGATAAATTTAAGACAGGTGAAATGGGGATTAACTATTTGATTTATCAGTTCAAGTAAAGGAATTGGCTTTAACTCCCAAAACAATGTGACATAGTAGTTGGCAATAATGTTTCCATACAGAGCTAAGGAAAAAGGAGTTGATTACTTAGCAATCAGGGAGACTGGGATCCACATTTAAATTGGTCCTTAGTTTTTTGATTGGTGCTCTGTAATTCATGTGACTTAAATGTTTGGTTTAATAATGTTAATGATGAGTGGATAGCCAAGTTTATTAAAATACCTAATGGATATCTTGTGTTTTATTAAATGTTAATTTGATTTAAAAGTATTTAGTTGATCATGGAAATGTCATAACTGTGAAGTTAACTAATGAAATGAAACTTAGCCACTCTGAATTATTCATGATTTTGGGTGGGATTGCTTGAGCTTTAATATATCCTAATAGGTTTTATTAATGCCTAAGACTGGCCCTGTAATGATTCAGATTTTAGATTCTGGAAGTGTCTTATTTCTGTGTTACTAAATGGCAAACCTGGCAGTTCTTAACATAATACAACACCCTAGAGGAGGTTAAATCAGTTCAAATTTTTTAAGATAAATTTTTTTGATACTTCGTCTCATAATACGCACAACCTTGTTAGTAGTTTGATGAAATTCTCATCGATATCATCAGATAGCAGTTCTGAGGTCTTTGGGTTCATAAATAGACTTAGTTATTAAGGTTAAATCATTGTACCAAGACTATTTTTAAGAGATTAATTCTTTATTTTTAAAAATGTTTTTATTGATTTTTAGAGAGGAAGGGAGAGGGATAGAGAGAAAGAAACATCAGTGAGAGAGAAATATCCATTGGCTGCCTCCTGCATCCCCCAACCCCCATGGGGGACCAAGCCTGCAACCCAGGCTTGTGCCTGAGCTAGTGAGCACTCAACCAGTGAGCCACACTGGCCTGGCAAAAGATTATTTCTTGATTGGATAATTAAGACTTTATATAGTTAGCCAAAACAAACATTTATGAATCAACTACTTCTTGCTATATTATTTTCTGCCATGGTTAAGTTTAGAAGTACTGGATTAGGCACTAAAGGGGGCTGTAATAGAGAAATAAATAAACTTGATTTTTGCCTCTCGGAATTTTGAAATAAAATTGGAGGAACAAGATGTGTAAACATGAAGTAAGCAAAGTACAGAATTGATTTGATACCAAGAATGATACCGGCAGTAGGAGTTACTGTTCACATCGTGGGAATTAAGGTAATATGTCAATGCCTGTATGGTCAAAAAAGGGTGTTTGTTTGTGGGTTTGGCTTTTTTTGTCACCTTGAATATGGCAAAGTTATATTATATGTGGGAAGAGCCATATGCACAAAGAAGTGGAGAATTCAAGAATCTCCCAAGAGTTGTGTTTAAAGATTAGGGAAGAGCGGGTGCACTTGTCTAGGAGAAGAACTGGAGAGCAATAGAAGGTAAAGATGGCAAGGTAGAACAGAGATATCTTTAGTGGTGGTTCTTAAACCCTGGTTGCAAGTCAAAAACATCTTGGGGAAAGGGAATAAACAAAATATACCAACTTCTGGGAGCTAAAGCTAGTGAAAAATTAGAATGTCATGGTGGGGTTCAGGCTTTGATTTTTTTTAAGTTGCCCAGGTGGTGGTTTGGTTAGATATGCAGCCAGGATTGAGAACTTCCCATAAAGAGTGCTGGAAAAATCACAGGATTTTGGACAAGGAGATGGGATAAAATTGGAGTTTTAGATCAGTCTTGGCAGTATTATTTGACAGAAAATGGAGGGGTTTGACACTGGAAGCTGGCAGATGTGTTAGACACCTGGATTAACATGATGTCATTTAGTAAATAAGGTGAATACAAAAGATACCTTTAAGGAAATACTGTTAAGACTTGCAGTGTTGGGTGTGGAGGTGGAGAGGTAGGAATCAGTCATTACAGAAGTAGCCCTACTTTAGGCCAGTTAAATTACTCTTTGAACGGGTACTGTGCATGGGTATATTTTAAGTCTTCCCAAGTGATTTGAGAGCCATAGCTCTAAGAATTAAGTATCTAGTCTGGGTAATAGGAGAATGATGCAAATAAAACTGTTTGGACAAATGTAACAGTTGATATTCGAAGTAGCAATGTAATGTCATGGGATGTTAGATATAACCACAAAAGAAATGGTCACAAATCAGTTATTACTAAGTTTTCATTTTGCATATTAAATTTAGTGAGATTAAATAACTTAATACTGGCATTTTACTAGTATCGGTGATTAGAATTGAGTTGTGCTAGTCTAAGCTATTTCACCAACTCTGACCTCTGGCCGAATTATGTGGTTTTTTTTTTCCTTATGGTTCTTATTTGTGATGTTTTTCAAATATATATTCATTTTTCAGCTTGTCTAAGACCAAATCTATCGTTTTCTTCCCAGATAATCATTTTAGTTAACATTTGAATCAGTGCAAAATAATTTTTATAGCTAATATAAAACACAATTTTTTATTTATACATATATTTCATTTCTCTTTCCATTTCATCTCATCTTAATTGTTTCTCTTCTGTAGACATTTCTCATCTATTTATGGCAACAGCTCATTAATATTTCTCTTTTTCCTTCACTAAGTCATCTCCCAAAGCATTTCAAGACTTAATACTCTCTTATCAAGAACTAAGACTGCCCTAGCAGGTTTGGCTCAGTGGATCAAGATCCCTATTAGGAGACGTGCAGGAGGCAACCAGTCAATGATTCTTTATCATCATTGATGTTTCTCTCCTCCCTTTCTCTCTGAAATCAATTTTTTTTAAAAAGAACTAAGACGGTTTCCTGTTATCTCAAGTTGAAATGCTTCATAGCCTGGCTCTACTACACCTGTCACACCACATATCCCATTTCACTTTAATCCAGACCTCTGTCCTAGCCAGACTAGCCTATTGATTCCTCTGAAAACAAGCCACACTTGTGACCACAGTCATTCATGCAATAAGCCTCCCTTGATGCTGGGCGTAGAATATATACATGGTCCCTGCTCTCAGGGGATTTAGAATTTAGTGGCATACTCTAACTTGGCTTATGTGATGTTTCATGCCTGAAATCTCCCCATTTCTCCAAATTAAGTTCAAATTCCACCTTTTATTAACCCTTTGCGGTCCCATTTTATTTTTGGAATTCAAACAGTCTGGTCTGAATTGGAAGTCCTTCCTTTCTTGGTTGCAGTAGTTCCCTGGCAGAAATTGCCAATTAGCTCAATCACCAACTTGACGTTGGACCTGCTCCTAGCGCCTGGTCTGTCGAGTCAGCCTCGACATTGGACCGAAAAGGTTTAAAAGCCCTCTTTGACTTTGCTCACTATGTTGCTTTGATACACATACAGTGGTGATTAAACAATACCTAGTATTTCTAGTATATGACATAGTGGGCACCCAAATATTAGTTGAGCAAATTAATTTTTGATATTTTCGTCCTATATTCTGCTTTTTCTCCATGTATAACTCTTCTCAGCAGAGTATAAACCCCCTCTAATGGCAGGAACTTCTTTTATGTTTTCTACAGTACCTAATATAGTGCTAAATGTTTATAAAACACTTGTACTAAATATTACGTTATGTAACTTAGAGCTTGAGGGGGGTGTCAACAATGACCGAAATAATTTCTGGTTTTGAGTATATGATGTTAAAGGAGGTATATCCATTAGCACATGAGAGATTGCTCAAATAACATCAAATGAATGTGCTTCTAAGTTGCCTGTATTATTTGCTTGACTACTGATTCTAAGTTAATGAAATGAGCTTGTACCTGTACCTATCCTCTGTCCTGGGTTCTTTTAAGGAAGTTATGGTATATTTAATGTCTTTATTTTTTTTTTATCTCTTAGTATGAAGTGTAACAGAACAGACTTTACCACCTGAAACTGCTGCTTCAAGTTCAGATCAGGCAAAGAACAAACCTTGAAACAACCAACAAGACCAAAGAAGAGTACACTTAAGTTGAAGACACAACACTTGATCTGAAACAAGAAGTTTGTGCCTACTCAACAGCTTTGAAAGAGCACTTCCCAACGCTGCTAGTAGTCTTTGTTTTCTTCAGTGCTGTACTGTGAGATTGCCCGGTGCAGCAGCAGTTGTATTCTTTATTAGCTTGCTAGATCATTTTCTCTCGCTCTCCTTTTTTTTTTTTTTTTAATACTAGCAACTTTCATCCTTTGAAACGTGTGCTGAAAAAGAAGAATCAGCAAATACTACTGAAAGTGCAATATTTGATTATCACTGCGAGGTAGGTTTGTAGTTTCCTGATGGACAATAATCAGTTTATAATTACGATTTCCTAATTATTTGATCAGATATAAAATCTTTTTAATCGGTTCTCTTCTAAAAGTATTCTGAAAACCATATTTTCAACTATTGAGTTGAAATATCACTAGACTAAATTATTGTCTTGTTAGTTGGGGCCACTTTTATGGCCAAAATTGAGATTTTTTTTCCCCGGTAAGATTATATTTATTCATCTATATGCAGATCTCTTGGTTTATTGGTCTCTTAGAAAAACTCCATCTGTACTAATGAGGAGCTAGGGTTTCAGGTAGGAATGCCCGTTGTATTACAATGGTATTTGTGTGGAGGTCTTTGTAACCTAGGGGGAAAGCCTACAGAGAAGGGACGTTTGAAGGTGAGTAGTACTTTGTTAAGAGAGAAGAGTCTTCTGGCAGAAGTGAAAACACATGGTATATACTGAGTAGTCCATCATGAACAGAGTGGAGAGAGTACAGTTTTGTGGGGGTGGAGAGAGTAACTGGAAAGGGAGGCTTGCTAGAGGCAGGTTCTGAAGGGCCCACTATATTTGACTTTATTCTGTAGGAAAGTTGCCAGATGTTTGTAAGCAAGAGTTTAATGGATTTTGTATTTCAAAACTGAGATAGCTTCAGATTTTAAAGTTATATATTTAGAAGTATATCTTTAAAGATAAAAAGGTCCACTTTTAAGAGATACATGAGGATGGAAAGACCTGTTAAGAGCAGTGGCTAGAGCATAAGGAAGGTAAACACTAGCAGTGATGGCGAACCTTTTGAGCTCGGCGTGTCAGCATTTTGAAAAACCCTAACTTAACTCTGGTGCCGTGTCACATATAGAAATTTTTTGATATTTGCAACCATAGTAAAACAAAGATTTATATTTTTGATATTTATTTTATATATTTAAATGCCATTTAACAAAGAAAAATCAACCCAAAAATTGAGTTTGTGTGTCACCTCTGACACGCATGTCATAGGTTCGCCATCACTGCACTAGGGTATAGTCAAAGAAAGGTAGATGCTAGCTAGGTGTTTTACTGGAGAAGTGATAGGACTTGGTGACCAATTGAATGTGAAGATGAGCTTGGAGGGAAATGACTTATAATCTATCCAGTTGTCCAAGCTAGAAACTGTTTGTAAAAATGGGGACATTTTGTTACAGAATTGGTGTGGAAGAAGACAGCTGGACACTCGGAGGTTTCAGGAAAAGTGTTTAATTCAAAGCAGTGCTGCTGGTTCAGGGGACTCTAAGATCCAGATCCTGAACTAAGAACTTAGACAATGTGATTTTCTCTTTATATATTTCTGAGTTTCTTTGTTTCCTAACGACCAAGCTTCTGTAGTGGACTCTCACCACCCTCTCCCCCTCAAGAATTGGTTAGATGGTTAACTTTGATTGTATTTAATGTCCATCCTGGATGGCGCAAGTGACCTCCCTCTAGTTAAGCTGTTCTTTGGTCTATGGCCCTTGTAAACTGGGAGTATTGAGGTAAATAGCTCTTGCAGGACCAGAAAATTAAGGAAGGGGCAGTGACTTCAGGAATGGCATTAGGTCCCCATCAGTTTAAGTGGAGACTTGCTGGAATTACAACATAAATTGTGGAAATTTACTGTATCTGCTGTAATCCAGAGTTGAAGTATGCAAATAGGGAATGTTAAACAATGGTAATTTGGGGAAGTTAGGTTTATGAAGGTCAATTTTCCTTTTTAATCTTCCTAAATTTTCTAAAGTGGATAGAAATACAGTCCTTGGGTTACATTGGACTCCATGTTTGTCGCCATTTCCCATTTATTTATTTTTTTAAAAAAAGTTTCATCATTTTGACATATGTACATATGTGCTTTGTGTTTTTTATTATTTACCACAAATAAAGGTCAGGAATTGTTATCTTAAATTTTTTTACTATTTCACTTCATTACTACTGTGTATGTGCTCCATGTGAGTGACGTAGGTGCTTATGTAGGTGGGTCCGACTTACAGCAAAAATCGCGTTATGTTGGGCTGTAGGAACGTACCTCCGACATAACCTGAGAACCTACTGTAAAGGCTTGAAATTCAGAAAGGATTCCTCACTTTATAGTGATAAAGGATAGTGTGCCAAAGAAGAGAATGCTCATTTGTATCTTTTGCTTTTCCTATTTGTTTCTTCATACCTCTTCATCTTGTTTTTAAAAATAAATAATTTTAGACGGTTAGTGATTGATTGTGCTGGGTTAGGTAAGATAGTAAAAATTGAATACTGCTTTGTCTTTATTCAAAAGGGTAAAAGACTAAATATCAAGGTTTCCATTTCATTCTATTGAAATGGATTTCAAATAGAAGTGCTTTTTCTTTAACCTAATCTTTGTATTCTGAATATTACTTTGCTATGTAAGTCAGTTATAAACATTGTGCTATGTTATCACAGCTGTTTAAGATGGAGAACGTTTTTACTGTGTCATCAGATTCTCATCCCCCTCCTGCATCCCCTCCTTCACTTTCTTTACCTTTATCTTCATCTTCTACCTCATCTGGGACAAAAAAACAAAAGAGGACCCCCATGTATCAGAGATCTGTAAGTCAGGGAAGCAGTCACCCCAGCTTGTTTGCTTTGTGTTTAGAGCATGACTTTGGAGGGCTACTCAGTTTGGTTAAAATACCTTGCAAACTCACTTTCTAACTTCCCCAAGCATTTCCTTCACCTTGAATCTTGAAAGATAAGTTTGGTAGTGTGGGGCTTTGCTGCTCAAAGTGTGTCCAAGAATCAGAAGTATCACTTTGGGAGCTTTTTAGAAGTGGAGAATCTCAAACCCCTGTCTCACTGAAATCAGATTTTGTATTTTTAACCAGATCACTAGATTGCCAGGTAACAAGCTTGAGAAGCCCTAATTTAGAGCCCCGATTGTAGACATTAGGACTTCTTGGTTTGACATCACTACCATTTGACTTTGGCAAGTCTTTAGCCTCTCTGTTTCCTCATTGTTAAAATGGGGATAATATTTCTCATGGGTTTTTGTAAAAATTAAATGAGTTAATACATGTCAGACACAGAATAATATTAAGCATGAAAGAACTAGAACTTAACCACCTACAGATGTGATAGCTTTGGTTTGCATGATTTGGCCATCCCACACACTAAGTATTTGTACCTGGCTTTATCTTTCTAGAACTTTAGTACTTTTTTTCTAATGAAAAACATTTTTATTAATGTTCAACTTTGCACTTAAATGAAATGCTTATAAACCAAAAATAATTTGTTTTTATGGTTAAATGAAATATCCAATGTGAGGACATTATTTGATGATCTAAACAGGTTGCATTGCATTACATCTAAATAGTTGCCCTTTTCTCTAAGGAACATTTTCCTTTGCTTTATCTGGTCATAAAAACAATAGCCTTTAGAGATTTTATCAGTGTCTAAAACAGGAGAAGACTTCTTAAAAGCACCTGTGAAATGATTGAACATTTTCAGGTGTTTTTTTTTTCTTGGAGTTTTATGTTAGAAAACACTTGTTTTCTAACTCACTATTTTGGGTTGTTTTCCATTAAAGGATCTAAGCATGCATGCATTCTGATATTTTCTGGTTTGAAATAAGTATTGCATATAAAGTTTATTGTTTTAATCTCTACTAACTTAGTCATTGTCTTCAAGGTGCATGGCTTACGAAATAGTATTAAGGTTTCTATTTAAGTTTCAAAGTAAGTGTTAATAAATTTCTTAAGGAAGTGTGCTCATAGTTTAGGTTGCCATCTCAAATATTAATTACCAAGTTGTTTTACGATTGTTGCTAAAGTTAACATAAAGGCAGCTTTTACTTATGTCATTGATTTACCTTAATACTAGCCTCTGGAAATTCTGTTTTTCTAGTAAGCAAGAATTCGGCCATAAATTGGGGCAATTTCCCAAATAATTCAAATATTTACTCTGAAATGTTTTAATAGCTAAATTTGCATTTTAACAATAAAAGCCCATACTCTTCCTTTTTATCTATTTTATCTTTATTTTGTTTGCCTTTTTATATTAAAAATATATTGATTTGTTAATTAGACCTGTGCTGTGGAGATAATGTACAGATCTGTATATATTGAGTTCTTTTTCTTTTCAAAACAGATGAGCTTTGATCCAAACCTTCTCCACAACAATGGACACAATGGGTACCCCAATGGTACTTCAGCAGCACTGCGTGAAACTGGGGTTATTGAAAAACTGCTAACCTCTTACGGATTTATTCAGTGTTCAGAACGTCAAGCTAGACTTTTCTTCCACTGTTCACAGTATAATGGCAACCTGCAGGACTTAAAAGTAGGAGGTAATCTGTTGATTCTCCTTTTTTAAAAAGCCAATCACAAATTTCTTTTCCATATCAACTTGCTCATGAGAGTGTTAGTTTGGGTCTTTTAATTCTACCAATTACTGGAGTGTGTCCATATAAACTAGCAGAATTATGATTTCTATTGTAGTGTTGTCTTTTTGACTGATTAAAGGATATCTTTGAATATTTTTTAAATAGATACTTAGAAGATTTAAGTTACTCCCCTAATAATGACTCTTTCTCTATACTATATTTGATTTTAGGCCCATAGAAAGATTCAACTTTTGTAATGTTAGTTTTGATTATTTTACCAGGTACTAGTTTGGTAGTACCTGAAAAAATAACTCTTACAGTTTCACCACTTGCACTATATGAAAAATCATCTTGGCTGACACCAGAGAAGCCATTTTTACATGTGAAAATGTGTGGTTTATTAAAGGACTGAAGTTACCAGGTCTCAGTGTGTGTTTTTAAAAATATCTTTGAGGAAAAAAAGTATGAATAGTTAACATGAATATTTTTGTGTGCCAAGTACTCTAAGCCCTATGAGAGTATTATTTCGGTTAATTCTCGTTATACGCATGAGGTACAGAGGTTAAAAAAACTTGCCAAAGGTCATGATTGTTATATTGCCTTATTTGCAGCATGTGTACATGGCATGAAAACTAAGATATGGCTTAGTCTAAAGCAATGGTTTCGAAACAGTGTATATTAGAATTACCTGGAAGGCTTGTTAAAAACGTAGATGGCTGTACTGCTTGCCCAAAGATTGCTTTTTAATAGGACTGGAGTGGGACCCGGGAATTTGTGTTTCTGCTAAGCTTCCTGGTAATGGCTGCTGTTGGTGCAGGGACCGCACTTGGGGAATCACTAGTATAAGGCAGCTCAAATGCTACATTAAGTTTAGCTTGAACATGAGATACCATTTTACCAAAATTAGTACAACAAACACAGCACTTTCTTTATTTTAGATGATGTTGAATTCGAAGTATCATCTGACCGGCGGACTGGGAAACCCATTGCTGTTAAACTGGTGAAGATAAAACAAGAAATCCTCCCTGAAGACCGAATGAATGGACAAGTTAGTGACTTTGATGCTTTGTGTTTTCTTCGGGCCCTGCATTTGCATATCTTTCCCATTAGAAAAGGAAGATTCCCCATCTCCTCAGTTTGCACGCAAGAGAGCTATAGTAGTATATAAAGATGATTATTTTAAAATTATATCAGAAGCACTGGCATTTCTTGACCTGAAATTTAAAAATGGTCAAGACTCAATTTGGGTTTTTACAAATAACCCAGAGTTTATACTTACAGTCAATTTATGTCTGTAAGTTCGAAACTTGGCAGCATGGCATCCTCTTGTGGATCATATTAAAATGCATCCCTATGTATAGTATAGAGGATATTAAAATTCAGTTTATATTGCACAGTGCTGCTCCTGAAATGATTAGCAATGGAAATTTTTTTTTTTTTGACTGGTAGGTTGTGTGCGCTGTTCCTCACAACTTAGAGAGTAAATCTCCAGCTGCCCCGGGTCAGAGTCCAACAGGGAGTGTATGCTACGAACGTAATGGGGTAAACTTGTGTATTTTTCTTAAACCTTTGCCTGATCCACCATGTGATCTATAAGCGTCCTTTAATTCAAAATAGAAAACGTAAGCTGCAGTAGATAAAATCAATTTTAAATTTGGTTTCTAAGGCTTTGAGTGCAGCATAATAAAAAAATTAAAAACAAAAAAAATCTATAGGACTTCCAAGTGTTTTAGCTTGCCCACGTGTGACCTTAGTTAGAACATTAAGGTAAAATGCTCCTTTTACTCACTTTTTGGGGGGTTGAGGGAGGGGATCTTTTTTCTGGTTCCTTTTAAGCACTAACTCCAGCTTTTTTGTTTGGAATGCCTTATATAAAAATTGGTCTTTTGAAATGTAACTACAGTCTCTGGGCAAACGCTTCCCGTGTGTAAGCTTTTTGAAGTTGGATTGCTGCTCAGCTGTGGACTCGCAGAAGTCATCAGCATCATGGAGGGGAAGTGTGTGTTTATATGAATACAACAATGTGCTTGTCATAAAGCATTTAACTTTAAGGAATTTGGCTTAAAATGCCAGTTTAAGAGGTATTTAACAAAGTAAGTCACAGTATACCGTAATCATGCATCCTGCCAATATAGTAATAATAACTTATTAATTCACAGGAAGTGTTTTATCTGACTTACACCCCTGAAGACGTGGAAGGGAACGTTCAGCTGGAAACAGGAGATAAAATAAATTTTGTAATTGATAACAATAAACAGTAAGTTCTTTTTTTCCCCCCTACCTAGATGATTTTTTTTTTTCGCAATAAGAAATTTGAAGGGAGTTATAAACCTAGCTTGTAACTCTAGATAATTTTTATGATCTTGTAAATTTTTCATTAATCACTAAGTATTTGAGGAGGTGCATTCTATGATGGGCATTGTACAGAGTGTCAGAAATAGGAAGATAATTAGAAAACAGTTTTCAAGGAGCTAGCTGTTCCAGAGGTTGGTGAAGATTTTGCAAAAGCATCAGTATTGTAAGTTTTGAGGGAAGGTTGTAGAGGCACTAGGGAGATGAGGGGAGAAAGAGTGTCCTGGGTAGAGGAAGTATTTTGGGGATACTTTGAGTTGATTGAATTGACTGGATCATAGGAAGATGAAGCTTGAGCTCTCTCCCATAAGCATAGGAATCTTTGAAGGAGTTTAAGTATGATAGCATTAGATTATTGGAAGTGGTGGAGAAGGTAGACTTTTGGAGAGTGGGGATGCTCTAAACTAGAGGAGTTATACGAGAGTTAATAGGAAAGATGAGGGCCCAATACAAAAAGGCCAGGGGTGGTCAAGTGGAGAAATAAGGGTGGGAAAGGAATTATACTTAGTTTGGCATTTGGAATTTGAGGTATCTGTGGGTATTTCTGGGTGAAGATTGAATATGCAGTTACACCTGTAAGTGAGAGGAGCTAGTAAGGGGCAGGAAGTAGAGCTGTTGATTTCCAGGCATAAGCAGTTAAGGAACGTGTAGTTAGGAATGCCCAGGGATGATTGTTTTTATTTGGGGGTGGGGGAGATGGGAAATACAAGTACAGAAGGAAGTTAAAAGTGGGGAAGTTGGAAAAATGCTAGGAATGCACTTTCCAACAGCAAAAGTCCCAAGAGCATGTGCAGAATCATTAGCCTTGAGCCTTACCTTTTGTAAGACTAGAAGGAATTAGATTGAGTTTGTAGGTTTGGATATTACAAAGTTTAGTCTGAATACCTCAATTTAATCTCAAGAAGGAAACCAGAGAATAGAGCTTGAGTTTGAGGGGGGAGCCAATGAAAGGGCTTTACTTAACCTTTATCAGGTTCTTACATGTGCCAAGCATTGTATGAAATAGCTGCTAATCCTCAGGACAGCTTCACCTGATAAGTTTGTTCACCTGTAAACTGAGGTTTATTCTCATAAAGTAACTTTCCTAAAGTTTTCAATAGCAGATATTTAAATCCCAATCTGAGTCTAAAACCTTTTCACTTCAGTAAGTTGCAAAAGCAAGTAGGAATTTTTTTCTGTGTCTTTGTTAGTCTGTTTGATTTTTGAAGTAAAAGGCACAATTGAATTACAATTTCTTCATGAAGAATTAAGAGAAGTAATTGCGTGGTTTACAGCTCTTAAAAAGCAACTACATCAACAAATACTATTGCATCTTATAGTCTGTGCCATCTTTAAAACGAAATCAAATGTACATTGCTACTGCTCAAAGATGGGAACAATGTAGCAGCAAGTGATGTATCTAACTGGTTTCAATGAAAGTGAATCATTTTTTAACGCATAGCAAATTTCTCCTATAATAACTGCATTTACTCATCTTTCTATGGCTGTTTAATCAGGAAAAAAAATTGATGAAATAGTTACTAAATTCAGTCATTGCAAACGGGCCATCTCTTATTCATCTCTATCTCCAATACCTTTGCTTGCAGCACATAATGCCTATTCAAATGTGCATTTAATGAATGACCTTCCTAAAACGAGCATTCCCCATCTTTGGTTGCCTGTAGTTTGTGGCTTTATTTCTTTTGTTTTAATGGAAAAGCAGAACATCATGTACCCATGGTGGTGTTTTAACAGTCCAAGAGAAAAATGCTTACATATATGTTCCTCATTTAGAAGGCTAGGGATTTTGAGCAAAAGTTTTTTGCATATGAAGCCATGTGAAAAGAATCAGGTGTCATCAACCTTACATTTGCTCTTAGTGATAGAATTCTTGAAGCCTCAGAAAACTAGTTTATTGTTTATTCCTCTAGACTCATCAAATCTAACCAAGCCAATGCATTTTTTCACCCTTCTTTGATACCCCCACCCCCACCCAATTATTCCCTTCCAGTACTGGTGCTGTAAGTGCTCGAAACATTATGCTGTTGAAAAAGAAACAAGCCCGCTGTCAGGGAGTAGTTTGTGCCATGAAGGTAAATATCATCAATTTGAGAAACTTGAGTTTTTTCTTTGACTATGTTAAGTCTTATACTTCAAACTTAATAAGGCTTTTGTTTTTCCTCTTTGAAAATATTTTACTGTTAACCTTAATAATCTTAAAATTCTTTGGTTACTAATTCATTATGTTCTTTAAAATGGGCCATTTAATTGATAGTATTGGGCTTTACCAAATATATTGTTTCATGGCAGTATAATTTTATGAAAAAGCTTATTGATTGTAAATTGTAATCATAAATACACACGCTTAACAGTATATAATGTTATTTTTTGTTTGGCTTCAGGAGGCGTTTGGCTTTATTGAAAGAGGTGATGTTGTAAAAGAGATATTCTTTCACTATAGTGAATTTAAGGGTGACTTAGAAGCCTTACAGCCTGGAGATGACGTGGAATTCACAATCAAGGACAGAAATGTAAGATAGTTAACTAACTTTATTTGGCTTTGTAAGATCAGTAATGAATTACATTTTTAGGAAACATTTAAAATGACATTTCCCTCCCACCCCCTTTTGATTTAGGGTAAAGAAGTTGCAACAGATGTCAGACTATTGCCTCAAGGAACAGTCATTTTTGAAGATATCAGCTTTGAACATTTTGAAGGAACTGTAACCAAAGTTATCCCAAAAGTTACCAGTAAAAACCAGGTAAATGGTCTTTTTTTCTGGAGAGTCTTCTTTGCCTCATCAGTAACAGAATTTTTATCCCATTTGATTAATATAATTATGTGGTAGTTGAGCAATGAAATATTTCTTGATATGTATAATTAAACTAAATGAGAAGCCACTGATTGATTTATCCATGAGTGTAGTTTTTTAATTTTGTTTTGTTGTTATACTGAGCCATAAGAAAAAGGGAACAAAATAAATGCTTGTTAAAATGGAAAACAACAATTTTGGTGCACATTTGTTCCCACCACTATGCCACCCACTGCCAGTTTGTTTCTTTCGTAGGGGAAAGGAGATGAGACCTGGGAGTGGGCAGGGGGTCGGCGATAGTGCTAAGGAAATGTATAACATAAAAAACTAAAACAGTTTTCCTTAAAACTTCTGTGTCAGTGTGCAGGACCTTTATTGTAGTGTTGTGATTTCATGGTTTTATTATGTTACCATAGAACACAAAGCTTTCAAAGTGGACTTAAGTTGTCGACCCCTTTTTTCCCTTTAGGGAACTATTATAAATAACATGGGTTTGCTGTGTTCTTCTTGTTTGACTTAGAACTAGGAAGGATGGGAAATCTCCAGCTAAAAATAGTTTTTCCTTCTCATCAGAATGACCCATTGCCAGGACGCATTAAAGTTAACTTTGTGATTCCTAAAGAACTTCCCTTTGGAGACAAAGATACAAAATCCAAGGTGACCCTGTTGGAAGGCGACCATGTTAGGTTTAATATTTCAACAGATCGACGTGACAAATTAGAACGAGCAACCAACATAGAAGTTCTATCAAATACATTTCAGTTCACTAATGAAGCCAGAGAAATGGTAAGTGTTGACTGTTATAAGTATCCAGTATGAAGGTGGAGTGATGGAGTATTCAAGTTTATAATACTATATTAAAAATTATTTAAGTTAATGATGATATTGGGCTGTTACCTTGTTAAGGTAATTAATAACAGTGCTAGTCCGTCTAGGTTTGACATCTAGCTCTGCTACTTACCTTGTAGAGATGTGGGAAAGTTTTAGAATGGAAATTTGGGCAGGATGATTTTCAGGGTCTTTTGAGAGTCAGTGATTATCTGGCCCTTAAATATGAAGACTGAGAAGATTTGAGTCCATCAGTTAGAAAGCAGATTTTTCCAAACTGTTTTTGTAAGATGTTTAGTAAACATTAGATTAAAAATAGTTAGAGAAGTTTGTTTCTTTTGTTTTTACATCAGGACTTTGTGAATTCTTTTAGTGGGTATATGTTCAGGAGTGACATATACCAGAATTATTTTTTACAAGCTCAATTTTCATGAATTAACTTTCCCTAATGCAATTTACATTTAGTTCTGCTTTGGCTCATAACATCTACAGTATATCTCTACCTAAAAATCTCGAGATCTAAATGCATGATTTTAAAAAACCATTTCTAGGCAGGATCTGTTTTTGCTTTATGGCATGAGATTCATTGTTGAGTAGCTTGGCTACCATCAGGATTTAGCAAGGATTAAATGTCAATAATTGTGCTTCAGTGAACATTTGAGGACCTGCCATGTGCCGTCTACTCTGGATGTAATGCCCTCATAGAGCTGATAATTTAGTGAGGAAAGGAGTTTCTTTATTTTAGTCTTCAGACCTAAACCTTAAGTCCTTCCTGTGCCTAAACTCACATAAATTTTTGAGGTATAGATCAGAGAGTTACCTTTAGTTGACTGATGAAGTATTTGAAGTATCGGCCTATAGATTTTTTTACATCTCTGGAAGTCATATTGTCATTAAGTTTGGACCTTGTTTGTAATCTTGTCTGCCACTTATTAGCTGTGTGCTTTGGACAAATCGTTTAACCTCTGTCAGCCTTGACTATCTTATCTTGCAAAAACATAATACTGCTAAGTTCACAGAATTGAGAATTAAATGGAGTACATTGTGTGCATATATTTACATTTAAATCTAACTTTTTCTAGTGCATGTTGGCCAAAGAGTGTAGCATCTGGTGGGTCTCAGTTGCTTAGAAATTGGTTTACTTCACTAAAGCAGTGAGTTTGTACTTAAATGGAAAAATTACTGCACACTCTTCTTCCCAGGAGGACACCCACACCTTTTTCTTTCCCCTCATCTTCCCTCACGGGTGTATGTTTCCTAAACTCTAAGGACCCCACGAGACTTGCAGTCTGGGGAGCAATGGACAGCGGCAGCTGGTCCCAAACTCACCCCCTGAAGCTGTCTCCAAGGCCCCCTTTTCTCTGACTTCTCAGCCAAAACAGCCCAGCCTAGACTCTCTCCTGTTGCTGCTTCTATCCTAAGCCCTTCCTTGTTTCACTTTCCCCAGCTTTAATAAACATACTCTCAAAATGAAAAAAGATAGAAGGAAAAATTAAAATGTGGATACAGAATTTGGGTCAAAGAATTCCTAATTTAACTTGATTATGTTTGCATGCTTGAATGTTGTTTTGAAAAGCTTCACAGCCAGTGAAACTATTATTTGTGTTTCAGGGTGTAATTGCTGCCATGAGAGATGGTTTTGGTTTCATCAAGTGTGTGGATCGCGATGCTCGTATGTTCTTCCACTATAGTGAAATTCTGGATGGGAACCAGCTCCATATTGCAGATGAAGTAGAGTTTACTGTGGTTCCTGTGAGTAGTTTTTGAGAAAAGTAATAGTGGGGTGTTTTTTTTTATGCTTTCTTTTCCAGTTTAAGTTATTTTTGTTTATTACTTGTAGGATATGCTCTCTGCCCAAAGAAATCATGCTATTAGGATTAAAAACTTCCCAAGAGCATAGTTTCATTTCATCCCCATTCAGATCATCGTTTTCTGGGCACTGTAGAAAAAGAAGCCACTTTTTCCAATCCTAAAACCACTAGCCCAAATAAAGGCAAGGAAAAGGTAAGTCTTACATCATCGATAATTTCTGTAGCTCTTTATTCCTTTTCTGCTTAAAGGCAAACACTATCCACACACTAATGGAATATTATCTTTCAGAATTCCCTGTTCTATTAACTAAACTAAACTAGAGCAAAGTTTTTTAATGTCAGCATTATGGACATTTGGGGCTGGATAATACTTTGTGGATGTGGGGCTGTTCTGTGCATTGTGGGATGTTTAGTAGCATCCCTAACCTCTACCCACTAGAGGCCAGTATCTCTCTTCTCCCCCTGTGTGACAGTCAAAAGTGGATCTAGGTACTGCCAAATGTCCTAAAGTGACCCCTGCTAGAATGACAGTACATTCTTCCAAGCAGTTTAGAACTTTTAAATTTCGGTAAATGCACTCCACACATTTGAGCTTCATTTATTGAAAAGTCCACTGAATCTGCTGTCAAGTAAATAAAATTGAGGCTTTTATAGAAACAAGTAATTCATACAGAATATAAAATGTTTATGTAAAAGGTCAATTTCACTTTGGGGAAGTTCTAAACTAGCAGAATCTGGGATGTTTTCACTATAGTATTGACATTTAATAGGTGGAAATAAATGAGGAAAGGACATGCATTACAATAGACGTACAGAAGAGAAAAATTCAGGGTTTCTTTAGAAAGCACCAAGTAGTTTGACAGGAAGATAGGTACTTTTTCTTTGGTGGGGTGAGTGGGAGAAATAAGGATGAAAAGATCAGGATACAGATAAAGAAGGTGGTGATGGCTACTCTAAAGAATTTAGACCTTGTTCTGTACTCAGAAAAAGTTTTCTGTTGGAAAGTGACATCGGGTGTGCAGTTCAGGAAGATACTGGCATTAGTATGAACCCTAGATGGGGGTGGAGAAAGACAAAAGATGGAAGAGGCTGGATAGGAAATTACTGGTATTTAATAGTTTAGGTAGTTCTTGAACTAGAGACAGAGAGCATGGTTATAGACAAAAGAAGGTACATTAGAGAGGGATCATCTTATCTCTATTTAATAGATTTGGTATATACTGTCTTGTCAGATGTTTACTGGATATTGAGGTTAATGGGTAGAGAGAGAGCAAAAATGAATGCTGAGATTGTGGCATTGGATAACTGGCAAAAGAGTCAATGCCATTGGAGTCAGACCTGAATTCCCTGAACAATATCACTCTTCACTTAACCGGAGTCAGATCCTTAGCATCACTTCTGGTAATTGACAGTGATTTAAGTGTTACTTTGAAAACATTGGCATGTCATAGCTTAATCACCTGTTTGAATATCAAATACTCTGAACTGCAAATTCTCATGCATTGGCAAATATATTGATTAACATTATATACAAAACACTGAGTACTTTGGGATATTCAAAATAGGTGACACAAAGTCTTCCTGTCCTACAGAATTTACACCTGGTTGAAAATACATGCCCAGTTTGATTTCTCATTAGCTATGAATAGTATGGAATGGGCATGTAACAAATTTTCAATTAGGTTTCCCTCAACAGCAAAAATTAGCTTCTTAAGACTAAAGAAACCAATTATAGCAAATTGAATCAGTTGTGGCTTAAGGCAAGACTGCCTTTCATTCATCTGAAAAATCTATTGTTAGAATCCTGGATTGGGAAATTTTTACAACTGTGCCAATTTGTTGGCTCAAGGGTCTATAAGAACTATAACTTTTTATATTGCTTTTTTGTTCTTCTTTTCATTGTATTCTTTTTCTTTAGGAGGCTGAGGATGGTATTATTGCTTATGATGATTGTGGGGTGAAATTGACTATTGCTTTTCAAGCTAAGGATGTGGACGGATCTACTTCTCCTCAAATAGGGGATAAGGTAAGATAATCCTGCTTATTTTAGAGAGGGACCATTGAGGGCTGTCATTTTAATTATTAATTCTGCAAAATAGTTATTACCAGTATAGTAGGAATTTCACAAATAGATGGTGCTGTTAATAAAATCTTATGTGCTTACAAGTTTATATGAACCTCCTCCTATTTAAGAGCAGTTTACTCAGTTAGAACAGGGTCTAGCAAGCTCTTAAGCTCTTTACGGAGCCAATATTTAAACATTTTAGATAAGATATGCCTAAATCAGTTAGCTTAGATAATATTAGTAAGAAAATTAAAACAGCCACTGAAACATTATCAAAGTGAATTCACACCAATGATTTTATATTACTGTTCATTTTTCTCTTACTTAGTATGTCTGGTTTTCTGATAGCCCTCTTTCAGAGAAATTAAGAATTTATTTACAAATGGAAAGCTTGGTGTGGAAATGACATGATATTAATGAGCATCCTTATTTTTCCACAGGTTGAATTTAGTATTAGTGACAAACAGAGGCCTGGACAGCAGATTGCAACCTGTGTGCGACTTTTAGGTCGAAATTCTAACTCCAAGAGGCTCTTGGGTTATGTGGCAACTCTGAAGGATAATTTTGGATTTATTGAAACAGCCAATCATGATAAGGAAATCTTTTTCCATTACAGGTAAGAAATGCCTTTTTAGGGATTTACAGCTTACTATTCATTCTTTGATTTTAGAGTCAAAAACATTTAGTATTGGGCAGTTATATATTTTTAATCCAAATTTTTATATTAGTGAAACATTAATCATCTCCTTTTGTAGAAAGATGTAGAAAGGCCTGTATATGTTTTGAACATTGGATAGGAGCCTTTCTGGTTCAGTGAAAGACTATTTTATATGTTGCTACGTATGCATTTGATGTTATAAGATTGAATAGTGGTTAAGAGCATGGGCTCTTGGAACCAGGCAGTTAAGTTTGAATCCAGGCTCTGCCACTTATTATCTATGTAACTTTTATCGAATGAAATTGACCTCCTGGTATCTTAGTTTCATTATCTTGAAGCTGAGGGTAATGGTACCTCCTCACAGGTTGTTTATGAGGATTAAATGAGCCAGTTCATAGATTGTGCTTAAAGCAGTATAGCTAGGCACACCGTGAATGTTGTTACACAAGAAAGAAAGGCTGCTTGTTACTGTTGCTTGTGATTATTGCTTATTCAAATGTCATTTCCTTTTCCCCCCCTCAGTGAGTTCTCTGGTGATGTCGATAGCCTGGAACTGGGGGACATGGTCGAGTACAGCTTGTCCAAAGGCAAAGGCAACAAAGTCAGTGCAGAAAAAGTCAACAAAACACACTCAGGTAATTTACTCAGTCTATGTTTTGGGTGAGAAATGAGGGATAATAGGCTGGGAGAGGGAGCAAAAAAATTCAGTTGTTCTGGATCAGTGGTTCTCCAGCTGTGACCCCCAGATCCAGCAGTATCCCCCGGCCACTTTAGAAATACAGGCTCTCTGACCCCACCCAACCTTCTGAAACCCTGGAGATGGGCAGTCTGTTTTAATAAACCCTTCAGGGTGATTCTGACGTACACTGAAGTTTGAGAACCACCGTCTTAGATATTTTAGATTATTTGCTTTATTTTCAATTCAATATCTCTTCTAAAAATAACCCCAAGATATAAATCTTCCCAGGGTTGAGAGGGGCATTCCTCTAGAAGACCGTTTTGGAGAAGGATGAGTCAATGTGAAAAATAATTGAAACTTAAGAAAATCCTTGCTATTTTAGCATCTCCAATTTTTTAAAGGCCTGCACTTTTGACTTTTATCTAAACTCCCCAAATAATACTTTCTCTTGTTTAGACCTAGAGAAATGACAGCCAAGGATGTTCATTTCTGTTCAATAAATATTAAGTGCATGCTATGTTTTGGGAATGGGGGTGGGGAGAGCAGTGAATAAATCAACTCCTGGTCTTTGGGATTTATACTTATAACCCCTATTCAAGCAAATGGAGATGAGTAAAATATTGTATGTAGTATGTTTAGAAAGATAGTAATACATATTGTTAATATGAAATAAATCAGGACTGTATGTGAGTATTGGGGTTGCTATTTTAAAGACCAGGGAAGGCCTCACAAAAAAAGTGACATTTGGTCACCTGGAAAAGGTGAGAGAACAAGACATGTTTTAAATATGTATATTTGTTAGTTCCTTAAACAAATTAACTTTATTTTAATAGTAGTTTAGAAATAGCTGGCAAACAACCAATCTTTTTTTTTTTTTTTAATCTTAGAGAAAGGGGAGGGGAAGAGAGAAAAAAATCAGTGTAAAAAAGAAAAATCAATTGGTTGCCTCCCGCCCGCACCCCAACCAGGGATCAAACGAGAAACCTGGTTATGTGCCCTGACTAGGATCAAGCTCGTCACATTTCGGTGAGATGCTCCAACCAACTGAGCCACCTGGCTAGGGCAACCAGTCATCTGTTAACATTTGTTCTGATGATTTCTCTCTCTTTCCTGTGAGCTAAAGTATAAAAATTGTAGAGTGAGATATATACACTTCTGTTTTGTAGTGAATGGCATTACTGAAGAAGCAGATCCTACCATCTATTCCGGTAAAGTCATTCGCCCCTTGAGAAGTGTTGATCCAACACAGACTGAGTACCAAGGAATGATTGAGATCATGGAGGAAGGTAAGAGCATCTCTGTCAGATTGCAGTTTCCCTTACTTTGGATGAGCACTTTGAAGATTTGAAAATATGATGGTTTGGGTTACAGTTGTTTCCAAATTCCTTAAAAACTGAACTAAGGAAAGTGACTTTCCTCCCCATGCCTGGCTTTTATTTTCATATCTCTGGAAATGAGATCAGCCTGGGTTTATGTAGTAAACAAATGACTACCTTGTGAACATATCACTGATACATGTGCAACTAACTGAGTTATATTGAAATAGACTGAGAACAGAATCTCACACTTAAAAAAATGCATTTATTGTCTGTGATAACCAAATATTCACAATCGAATTGATTTAGTACAATTTTATAGTTTTTCTCTATTATTCACTGGTTATTTACATCAGTATTAACACATTCCTCTAATTAACCATTCAATTATATAAACATTTTTGCTTCCTGTAAAAGTTCACTATATCTATTCCTTAATATTTAGGGTTCCATGGGAATTTTACGAACTACTTGTCTATTAGTCAAGACTCCCTATATTTTCCACTTTCTGCTTTTTTTCTCCCCATCTTTAGTAACTCCCTGAATTCTGATGCCACACCTCACCACAAAGTTACCACCCAAGAAGATCCACTTTGTGTGTAAAATACGTTTGCAATAGAAATGATAGTAGGGAACAGTGAATAATTAGTTTAGCAAAATTACCAAAATAATTGGGTTGATGAGAGGGTTTGAAATTCCAACCAAAGATGATAGCCTGGCTTACAAACAGGAAATCTTGTGTTGTCTGAGTCAGAGAGAACATAGACTGGGGAAGAGTAGGTCATAGAGAGAAAGAAATGAACCTTCATAACATGTTCCTTTACCTCATGAGGTTCTTAGGAATTTGTGTTTTACATAGAACCAGTGCCCCACTGCACACACCTCCAAATATGAGTTCATTTTATAGCAAACCAGTAGCAAACCAGTCTTTTAAACTAATGCCATGATGATACCATACCCCGAAAAGGGCCTTAGGGACATGGGCAGCTAACTCGTGAGATAATATCAAATCACCCTTCTTCCTCTCTAAATGTCCCTTTTACTTCCTTTTGCATTCCCAACCCCTCGATCTACTTATTTTTAAACACTGGCTGTAGGATATATAAAACTTTTCTGAAATCTCTAAGCCTAGAGATTTCTGGAACTAGACAGGTCACATTTTCCCACTTGATGGTGAGAATAGTTCTTTTCTTATTTAGGAATACATCTGTAACTCGATGTAAGATAAGACCATGAGCTTTGGTGTCGGGGAGACCTAGATCTGCACACCATCTCTTCCACTTCTAGCTGTATAACTTCAGACAAATTACTTAAATCTTCCCTAGCTCAGTTTCTTCATCTTTAGATGAGGATAATATCTTCAACCTCAGAATAAGATAAAATATCAATCCATATAAGTTTTTAATATTTGGTAGTTACTGTTAATACCACTATATCCGACCAACTGCCTCTAAACCTTTGCATGACTTGGTATTAGAAGTATCTCCTCAAGGTTTTCGACTCTAAAATCAAGAGAATGGTTAAATGAAATTGCAGTTCTGAAGCTTCTACTTCCACCTGCATTTTTTTTCTCCTTTTCTCCACCTTTCTTGGTTCAGTAGATTCACCATTCAGGTGAATTGATAAGCAGCTGAACTCTTTGGCCCGGTTTTTATCCATGACCTTCAGCCAACATTTTACTCTAGGGCAGACCTCAGCAAATATAGTGGTTTGTTTTTTTGTTTAAATATATTTTTACTGATTTCAGAGAGGAAGGGAGAGTGAGAGAGATAGAAACATCAATGAGAGAGAATCATTGTTCAGCTGCCTCCTGCATGCCCCCTACTGGGGATCGAGCCCACAACCCAGGCATTTGCCCTTGACTGGAATCGAACCCGGGACCTTTTAGTCTGCAGGCCGAAAGCTCTATCCCTGAGCCAAACCATCTGGGGCTGGGGGGTTTTTTTTTGTTTTTTTTTTTGAAACACAACTGACCCCTCGTTTACATACAAGGTGAGCAAAAGTGGGTTTATAGTCATGAATATGTGAAACAGTTTATTGTATTTTCAAACAACTGTAAAACTACCTCTGCCCATCCCTGTATTGTCTTTGGTAGCTTTCTGACTACAACAGCAAAGTTGAGTAGTTGTGACTTATAGAATGACCTATAAGCCTAAAATATTTACCATCTAGCTCTTTCATCCTTTAATCATTACCTGAGGAGTACTCTTTATTGATTTTAGAGAGAGGAAGGCAGAGAGGAGTGAGAGAGAGAGAGAAACATCAATGTCAGAGAGAAACATCTATTGTGTCCAAACTGGGGTTGAACCTTCAACCTATGTATGTGCTGCCCTGACCGGAATTGAGCCCGCAACCTTTTGGTGTACAGGACGGTGCTCTAGAGAGAGTGTGCTGAGCCCTGATTTAAGAAAAAGGTGCCTATTGATTTGAGGGTGTCAAAATCAGAACAAAGAAAGGAAGTAGAATGGCAAAGAAATTTATTTACATTGTCTTTGCATGTACCTGGCTTACTGTTTAATACCTAGTTGAGTATGGGTCAGGAATACTTTGGTTGGCTCATAGGTGACCGTCAGAAGAAGATAATCCAGGGGATCATATTAGCAACCCTTAGTGCTTAAAAAGCTCAAATATTTAGGTGATGAGATTGTAAGTGATAGTATTATTTTTAATTTCATAAATGTCATTTAAAACTGTTCACTAGCTATTAAGGTAATGAGCTACAGGTTCTTGTTTGCTTTCATTGTAGTATTTAGGATTTCATTGAAGCTTTTAAAGTAGAATATCTCAGGGGCAAAAAAAAATACTTTTTGGAACCTTTTATAAATTTATTAGGATCATCAGCAGAGGGCTGTTGTGAAATATTACCTTTAGTCTTTGTACCTTTTTCTCCCTACAGGGGATATGAAAGGTGAGGTCTATCCATTTGGCATAGTTGGAATGGCCAACAAAGGGGATTGCCTGCAGAAAGGGGAGAGTGTCAAATTCCAATTGTGTGTCCTGGGCCAAAATGCACAGACTATGGCTTACAACATCACACCTCTGCGTAGGGCCACTGTGGAATGTGTGAAAGATCAGGTAAGTGGCAGTATTTCTGGATCTGAAATTGATCCTTTTATGAATTGGTAACCAAATAGTAACCAAACCTTGAAATTTTTTCAGCCAAGGGAGATTCATCAACATTCATCTGGTTTTTAATTCTACTTGACCCTTTTTTCAATAATTTGAGCTAGCCTATATAAACATGAAGAAAACTACATTAAGGGGCGGGGGGGATAGTGATATTAGAAAAAAAAGTATTGATAACTAACATTACATGATGGGGAAAATAAACTTAGAGTGAGATTTTCAGAATAGAAAGATTTAAAGGTCAGAGATTGTTTTGTAAGCCACACAAGGAAAGAAACCATGTATAGAAGTGTTCATAAAATAAGGGCAAACAAATCTATTCCTGGTACTGAGATCTCAAGAAAATCCCTCTGAGTCCAGGACATTTTTAAATATCAGTATTATAAATAAAATATTTTGTATGGCTGTTTTTTATAATACCATAACCTAGCTTAATAATTCTGGAATAGATGAAAACAATGCACATGTTTATGTAACAGCTCACTAAAGATTTTACATTATTCAGAAGTTTAGCTCATATAATATATGAGGCACAGGGCAGCCTTTCTACTTGTTTCAGCCAGGCTATAATAGTCAAGGCAGTGATTTCACATTTATATTTCTGCCCTGGCAAGTTATGCTGACTTACAATGCTGTTACATTCTAGCACAGGCAGCTGAACTGGAGCATCAGTATTAATACCATGTTTGGTAAACCCCTTCTTGTTAGGGTCACACATTGTGCTTCATTCAAAGTGAGGCGCTCTACCACTATGATATGTATTTTTTTTTTTTTTAATTTCAGTTTGGCTTCATTAACTATGAAGTAGGAGATAGCAAGAAGCTCTTTTTCCATGTGAAAGAAGTTCAGGATGGCATTGAGCTACAGGCTGGAGATGAGGTGGAATTCTCAGTGATTCTTAATCAGCGCACTGGCAAGTGCAGCGCTTGTAATGTTTGGCGAGTCTGGTGAGTTTTTGTTGTTGGATTAAAACAATCTCCCTGGACAACTTGCAATCTCTTCATTATCACATTTCTTCACTTTTCCATCTCTGCTTTTCTTTTTTTTTCATATATATATTTTATTGATTTTTAACAGAGAGGAAGGGAGAGGGATAGAGAATTAGAAACATCGATGAGAGAGAAACATCAATCAGCTGCTTCCTGCACACCCCCTACTGGGGATGTGCCCACAACCAAGGTACATGCCCTTGACCAGAATCAAACCTGGGACCTTGCAGTCCACAGGCCAACGCTTTATCAACTGAGCCAAACCAGTTAGGGCCATCTCTGCTTTTCTTAATTTTCTACTGCCACTTGGTTATTTCTTGGTACTTCGTATCTTTTACCTCTATTCTTCATTGTGTAAACTTTTAGTTTCATAAATCTGACCCAGTGGAATATTAATTAGGCACTTGCTATATAATAGATCTTAAATATAAAATGATGATGTAGTCCTTGTTCTTAAAGGATTCTGCTTAGCTTTTTTTGTGTGGGTTTTTTTGTTTGTTTGTTTTTCCATTAAGCCATTTCTGAGTTATGTGGTGCCTAAAAGTCTAATTTTATAGATTAGCAGTTCTGACTCTGTTTTTTTGTTTTTGTGTATGAGTTTTTTTTAATAACATTGTTACCATGCTAGAAGCTGGGGGTCTCTGGAAATATTTATTTATAACTCTTCTAAGGTTTTTCACATCCACTACCTTGTTTTATGTGTCTGTGAAACTGGTCTTTCTGGATGCAGACCAGTCTGGGGATGACCGTCACCCAAACGATTCTTCCAGCTCCTATGCAGGAATAAACCTTGAGTTGGGAATAAAAACATAAACAAACTTGTCTGTCCTGTCCTGCTAGCTAGCTAGCTAAATGAGGCAAGAGTCCCCCTCATTAAAACTGAGTCACTTGGGTAGTTAGGTGGAAAATACACTCCTCTGTAAGTACTTGCTTCTTCCCACCATGTGTTGCTGCTTCTCACTTCTTGACTTGGTTACAGCGAGGGCCCCAAGGCTGTTGCAGCTCCACGACCTGATAGGTTGGTCAATCGCTTGAAGAACATCACTCTGGATGATGCCAGTGCTCCTCGCCTAATGGTTCTTCGTCAGCCAAGGGGACCAGATAACTCAATGGTATGAGGGTATACAAGGTTTTGGGGGAGGGAAGGTTGTGATGTGACAGACCAGCATGATACTTGAGGTCCTATTTTAGCATATCTCAGAGCGCTTACAGAGCATTAGTATTGCTTATAACTAGTTAGGACTCCTTCCCTACATATTGGTTCAGTCCCCAACATAATGGTTGCTTACCAGTAAGAAGCACATTTCTTTGTTTTCCTGATACTTTGAACTTAGTTGTAGGTAATAGATCAGGAGGGCTTACTATGTAAGATTTCCTCTGAGAAAAAACTGGTAGTGGTTAAGATGATTAAAAGTAATGCTTTTGAAGTTTACTTTGGAATTGTGAAGGTGCTGTGATTGTCATACCCTGAAGTCATTAACTGCAGTTTTATTTTTTCACAGGGATTTGGTGTAGAAAGAAAGATCCGTCAGGCTGGTGTCATTGACTAACCACATCCACAAAGCACATCATTAATCCATGATGATCAAGTTAGGGGGATTCTGGTGAAGGGTTCTGAATATCTCCCTCTTCATCCCTCCCCAAAATCTGGAATACTTATTCTATTGAGCTATTACACCAGTTTTAACACCTTCCTCATGTTATGTTTAAAAAAATAAATAAATTTAAGAAAACCATTTTAAAATTATGCACAGTTGCAGCCTGGAAAACTTAAGGTGGCGCCTTGTAGTATCAATTTTAGGAGCTTTATTTGGTGCATTTAACGCAACTGGTAATTGCAAAATCCACTTCGCCCGTGTAAGTGAAAAATATAGACTGTTACCTTGTTGGCTGTATGAAATTCTGCACTTGATATTTAGCATATATTCTACCTTCATTACTTCTGGCAAGATGTCCTGCCTTAGCACTCAGTTGCATTCTTTTCCTTTTCTTTCCTGTTCATTATGCTTTAATTCTGAGGACCATATGAGGGTAGACTATATTAAAAAATTTAAAAATTTGTATAGGCAAACCATTTTCTTAAGTTGATGGCCAAATGTTAAAATGTTATTTTTCATATCATTTATAATCTTGTCACAGTCCACTTAAACGAATTTTGGGTAGATTTCAATGAGAATTATCTTCCAAAGTAGTTTTTTTTTCCCCTGGGATGGGGTGGGGGGTAAATTTTCCACAATTAGTATGTGTGGTGCAGAATTTCATGCAAATGAGGTGTGCCAGCAGTGTGATAATTTAAACGTATTTAAACGACGAATGCACAAACTTGCTGCTGCTTAGATCACTGCAGCTTCTAGGACCCAGTTTATTTTAATGATTTAAAACAAAACAAACAAAAAAATAAAAAAATTGTGCCTGAAATGAATCTTGTTTTTTTTATAAGTAGCCGCCTGGTTCCTGTGTCCTGTAACATGCAGGCACTTGACCCTTGGTGTAGCTTCTGTTCAACTTTATATCACGGGAACGGATTGGTCTGATTTCTTGGCCCTCATCTTGAATTGGCCACACGCAGGATCCCTGGCCAGTGGACTGGAAGCTTTGTCTAAGATGACAAGGGTCAGCTCAGGGGATGTGGGGGAGGGCGCTTTTATCTTCCCCGTTGTCATTTGAGGTTTTGATCTTCTCTGGGTAAAGAGGCCATTTATCTTTGTAAACACAAAACATTTTTGCTTTCTCCAGTTTTCTGTTAATGGCGAAAGAATGGAAGCGAATAAAGTTTTACTGATTTTTGAGACATCAGCACCTAGCGCTTTCATTATTGAAATGTCCTGAGTGGGAGGGGCGGGTTTGGGTGCGGCCAGCAGCTTGACTCTCGGGTCGGAGGCCCACGTGGCCGGGGCGGGGACTCAGGCGCCCGGGGCGCCGACTGATTACGTAGCGGGCGGGGCCGGAAGTGCCGCTCCCTGGTGGGGGCTGTTCATGGCGGTTCCGGGGTCTCCAACATTTTTCCTGGTGGTGGTTCTAAACCCGTCTGCAGCGGAGGCACCGGAGCTTGAGGTGAGGCTCCGGCGTGTGTAGCGTTGGGCTTGGAGCTTGCAGGCGTCTGGTTAGTGGCGGAATCCGCGAGCAGAGACAAAGGCCTGGGGCGGGGGTCCTTGGTTTTGAGCCCCACGGGGAGATCCTGGGAGACAGGTGGGGGACTGGAAGGGAAGGGCGGCCTGACGGCAGCCTGCCGCCGCCGAGAAGCCCTGCGGGAGGAGCAGGAAGGGGGTTCCTGTACCTTAGGCCGAGGGCGGGGCCCACGGGCTGTTGAAAAATAGATGAGGTGGGGGTAGGTCGAAGACGAATTCAGCATCCCGAGACCCACGGTCACTCGTGGTTTTGCATTCCTGAATCACTGGGAACCGAGTGGAGGGTCACGTGCATGGGACCGATACATTTCAGACGCCGGTTTTAGCCACTATCGATTATAGAAAGCTCTGAAGTGCTGTAGAGGCGGCTCTCCGGTTAACCCTCATTGCTGCTTTCCCGCAGGTTCTTGCTGGTGTGAAATGACTGAGTACAAACTGGTGGTGGTTGGAGCAGGTGGTGTTGGGAAAAGCGCGCTGACAATCCAGCTAATCCAGAACCACTTTGTAGATGAATATGATCCCACCATAGAGGTGAGGCCCAGCGGCAGTCCACCGCCCCTGCCTCTTTTCCTTCCGTTTACCCTCGCCCTTACCCTTTAGCTAAGGGAATCGTCAGGAAAGAAAGTGGAAAGTTATTTTGGGTACTGCGTTCGGTAATACAATAAGCAAAGCTTTCCATGTGTGTGGACAAGAGTGCCTTTTTATGAGCTGCTGAAGATTTCTAAAGAGTTGCAGTGTTAACAGTTCTGTAAACTTGCAAACTCAGTGTTGAACTCATTTAGTTTCTTCGTATATGACAACTCTGTTTTAAAAGAAGCACAGGCCATAGGTAGAGCGATTATCTGAATAATATAGCAGGATGGAGATAAAGGATTCAGAGATCTGGAGGTTCTGCAATTGTAATTTCTTAGCTCGTTGAAGCAGCCAACACTGTGGTTGGAGTAGAAAGAACATTTTGAGTCACTGTGCTTAAGATTTCAGTCCCTGTTTGCATTTTGTTTAGTTATGTGATATTGAGCAATCACTTTCTCTCTCTCAGCCTTATTTCCTTCATCTTTTAAATTACTATAAGCTTGTTCTGCCTACCACACAGGGATGAAGTGGAAAGTCAAATGTGTTTAAATTTTTGTGTGAATGGTAAAGCACTGGATAAATAGTACTTATTTAAAGATCCTATTGTTTTTGTGGGACTTCATGTTAAAGATTGGCTTCAATGAGTGGCAAAATACACCCTTTCAGTAAAGGGCCTTGTAATGTTATTCAATTTAGAAATGTGTAACTCTAGAGATTATTGTGTTTTAATCCACACCCTGGTCTTCCTACCACTCAGCCACTGGGCGTTTAATGCACTCTAACTCTAATATAACCTTATTAAAAATTATTCATTAGTTCTTTGCAAAACTTTATTTTAGGCTTAACAGCTTCAGTGATAATAGAACCTTTTGATATTTTTCAGAGTTTTAGTTATTGCTGGGTAATTTACATACAGTAAAATACGTAAATGTTATATCTACAGCTCAGTGACTTTTTAAACATATATATACTTACATAATAACCACCACTCAGATTAAAAAATATACTACTTCCTATGCCCCAGAGAGTTCTCACATGCCCTTTTCAGTCAGTAAACTCTCTTACCCTGCCAGGAGATAACCACTTCTCTGACTTCTATTATCATAAAATAGTTTGACTAAAACCTATCTTCATAATTTTTATTTTGCTCATCTTAGAACAGACACTTAACTATGTTTCATGCTCTAAGAAGTTTTGGTGATATAAATTCTATTTAATTTGAAAGTACAGTCCTGCAATTAAGTGAGCTACAAAGGAACTAACTGATTAATGGGCTGGGAAATTAGGTTGAATTCTGTTTTTGGAGCCAGATCTTTTACGAAGAATGGTGAGGTTATTTTATTTGACTTGAATTCCCAGGATTTAAGTATTAAAATACAAGTAAAAATGTCTGCCTTCGAGCCCAATTGAAAGTATGTTTTTATATGATCTACTTAAGAAATGAATTATGTCTTGTTTGTAACCTTTAGGAAATTGATTGAGGATTATTTCCCAAAGGTACAATCTGCCGTGATGAGAAAAAATAATTTGGTATTATGACCTTGTTTGAAATAAAAAGTATTTGTGTTTAGTCATAAGCACAAGTGGCACTGTAACCAGGGCCAAGTTCTAAATTGGTGGAGGTCTGTTTAGAATTGTAAATGTACAGTAAACAACTCAAATACGAAACGTTCAGTGCACACCTTAGTGACATGCAGTGATTAACCCCAGTCCAGCTGCAGTAGAGCTGCCTTTTGAATGACCACATTTGTTCACCTTTTCCGGGAACTGAGTGTTCACATTTTCCTTTCCGCAGGCATATAGGATTTGGGATTTTTTTCCTGGGAAGACATTAAGTATTTTGTTTGTAATTGTATATTAGCAGTTTGAGGGACAAACCAGAGAGAGAGAAATAGACTTGGGTAGTAGCTTGCTTAACCTTGGTAGTAGCATTGCATTTCCTGTGATTTTTAGTAAAAGTGGAATCTCCCTTCCCCCCTTTCCCCCAGGATTCTTACCGAAAACAGGTGGTTATAGATGGTGAAACCTGTCTATTGGATATACTGGATACAGCTGGACAAGAGGAGTACAGTGCTATGAGGGACCAATACATGAGGACAGGGGAAGGCTTCCTCTGTGTATTCGCCATCAATAATAGCAAGTCATTTGCAGATATTAACCTCTACAGGTACTAGGAGCGTTATTGTTTTCTGAAAGGATGATCTTTAAGCTTTGTTCTGAAGCTTTGTTGGGGGGGTGGCGGGGTGGTGAAGACGCCACACTAGGAATAATACAGCTTTTTTCATTACAGGAAGAGTTGGTTTTCGTTTGTTTGACATTGAGAATCTGAAAGTTAATGCTGGAATTTATTTTATGTAATATACCATAGCTAGAATGTGTGATAGTGTATCAAGGAAGCTTGCTAGTGGGAGTGATTGCGAACTAGAGGTGTTATTAGATCACAAAGGAATTTCAGAGAGGAAAACGCCTGAGAAACATTGTTCAGTAAGTCATAGAGATCATGATAGGAAGAAACAGCTGGGGAGTTGCTAAAGATGAAAGCTGGGCAAAGGAATGTAGAGCTTGTCTTTCTCTGTAAAACCATAAAGTTTCAAAGCTCAATTGGACCATAAAAAAAGAAAACAACATTCTGATTTTACAGAATCAGAAATAGGTAGTTTATTAGGTTTTTGGAGTCTTAACTGTTACTAGTAGCAGAGCCAGGAACAAAACTCCAAGACTCCTTTTCTTAGCTCCATATTATTATTATTATTATTATTATTATTTTAAAATATATTTTATTGATTTTTTTACAGAGAGTAAGGGAGAGGGATAGAGAGTTAGAAACATCGATGAGAGAGAAACATCGATCAGCTGCCAACCAAGTTACATGCCCTTGACTGGAATCGATCCTGGGACCCTTCAGTCCGCAGGCCGACACTCTATCCACTGAGCCAAACCAGTTAGGGTTATTATTATTTTTTTAATATGTTTTTATATTTTGTTCTTTATTGATTTCAGAGACAGGGAGAGAGAGAGAGAAACATCGATGACAGAGTGACACACATTGATTGGCTACCTCCTACACACCCCCCACTGGGGATGGAGCCTGCAACCCAGGGATGTGCCCTAACCTGGAATCAAACCGGGACCTCTTGGTTCATGGGTGAACGCTCAACCACTCAGCCACACCAGCTGGGCACTCCATGTTCTTTAAGCAGAATAATGTAATGGTTAAGAATATAGATGCCTGGGTTGAAACTTGGCTCCATCATCTATTAGCCATGGGACTTTGGGGCAAACTACTGAAACTCTGTGCCTCAGTTTCCTTATCTATAACATGGAGGTTATAATTTCTACCAAGAGTTGTGAAAATTAAATGAATCGATAAACATGAAATCGTTCAGAACGGTGTCGTGCACATAGTAAAAGCCTGTGCAGGTGTTTTGCCTACAACCTTGAGACCTGGCTTCTGCCCTGTCCGTATGAAGAAGTCTGCTCACAGAAGCAAACTAGTCCCAAACTGAATTCAGTGGGGTTTTTTTTCTCCTAAACCTGCTCTACTGTCTTCCACTTCCTCTCTGGAAATAATAGCGGTACTTAATAAAATGCGCAGTACTTAGCAAGCATCTAATACTTGCTGAATTTCTAGAAGTTATTTTTCTTTTTAGGCTGTCTTATCCCTTAGCATAGGCTCCTGCCATTACCCCCACTGTCATGCATTTCAGGTGCATGGCT